GCTCTGGGTTTTTTATTAATAAGACCTTTTAAGATTTGTGTTACAGTAAGGGTCCAGTGTTGATAGTGTACCAGAAACCAGAGGCCTTAAACCAGACCAACAACTCATTACAATGAACATTTGCATGTAAAGCAAAGAGGACAAAAGGATATACTCCATGACACACCACAGATCCCAGTGCCACTAAGAAAAGTGAATAGGTATTGGAGAGGTGGGAAAGATGGAGGAACAAAGTGGTTTTAGGGTTTTTTATGTTGTTGTTTTGAATTCATGTTTTTTTTAACTTTCTTTTGGGGAGGCCAATACAGTGGTGAGGGGCAGATATGGAGGAACTGGGAAATGAGAGGGATTGGGGTGCATGATGTGAAATTCTCAAAGAATTAATAAAAAATTATGTTAAAAACAGTACACATAAGTTTGTATATACATATACACATACAGTTTAAATGAAATTTTCTCATCTGCGCTGACAGTGCTCCCTCCTAGAGCCAAAGACTATCTAACAAGAATTCCAACACCAGATTTGAGAAACTCTCTTTTGAGTTGTTGGCCACAGTCATCTAAGAAATTGTTAAAACATTACAGGCTATTACTGTTGCCCTGTTTTGCTCCCTAGAGGTGGAAAGTTAGTCCCTGTTGCTGAAGACACCATGCACTTCATTTGCAGGGCCTAAAAGCTCCTGAGCTGGACCTGACCTGAATGTCTTTTTCCTGAGACTAGCTTTTATGGTACCAGAAGGTGCCATGCGTCTTCAAAAAGTGGAAAGAAATCAACAGTCCTAACCAGCTTGACACACACAACCCACAACAATGACCATGGTGACATGATACCCCTAAGGATGTAGTAGTGGCACACACACCTTGGTGGTAACCCATCACTCTCTACTTGGACTTAAAACCTGCTGCACAAGAAGGAAATCATGCCTAGCACTGGAACCTAGCCAACTACCCTCAGCTAACGAGGCCATGGACCTTAGAGGAGAACCCACAACCACCAATTTATTAAACCAGCATTGTCTCTAACCATAGTCCACTAATTGTCCTTATACTCACAGATAAATGTAGTCCTCACCCCTTATCATGGAAACTCCCCTTTGCAGATGGAGACTATTACAGAAAACCACAACCAATCAAAATGCAGAACTGTGGATCATCCCCAGTCCCAATGGATACATTTAAAATATGACTCCTGGACAGACATTTACAATACAACGCCTGCACCTAAGGCTCAAGGAGCATTGCTGGAGAGGGGACTGAGCTTGTAAGAGCCAAAGGATGGAGGCGTTTACTGTGAGGCTGTGTTTCCTAGTAAGGTCAGAAGCCGCTTCCATAAAGTCTCACCAACATGACTGCCTAAACATGAGCTGAACAAGGACAACAACAATAGATATGCTAACATGGATCAGGGCAAGACCAAGAGGCCTTATCCTACATAAAGAACTACAGACAACGAAGGAAGGCTGAGAGCAGGAAAAATAGTCTTCCCCAGGAAAGAGCACGTCAATTGGTTAACCAATTCCAAATGGTCAGCCATGAAAAGATACATACAAGTAACATACAGACTGAGCAGGTTGTTCTTATGTATTTAGGAATATGTATATATATATATATATATATATATATATATATATATACACATATATATACATATATGCATGTAACAATAATGGAAAAAGAGGTCATGAATTTGAAAGAAAGGAAGAATGGTTTAGGGAAACGTTTGGAGGGAGGAAAAGGTGCAATTGTAATCTCAAAAATAAAAGAATAAGCTAGGTAGTGGTAAAAAAAAATAGACAAGTGATAGAGGTAGAGATATATTCAATGTGACCACATTATGAAGAGGACCAAATGAAGTGTTCCAGTGAAGTTGACCCACTCCATATTCAAGGGTAATAACAGAGGTTTTGGTATAATAGAGGGCAAGAAGTGTGTAATCTAATCAGTACCAGTCATGGTATGGTCCCACAAATCACTGACCTATCATTATCTCAGCTCTAATCTCTCCTATAAGAAATGTGTAAAAATCTCTCCTGAAAGACAAAGAGACAGGCATAAACATTCTCTCTCTCTCAGCAAAAGTGTCTTCTAAATATCTCTTGTACTCTCAGTCCAGGAGCTATCTCTAAAGTTGGAATCAAGGTAAAACAACCTATGTTTTCCCAACTTTTGGGGTAGAGATTTCTTGCTCCTGCAGCTGCCTCCTTCTCTACTCCTTCCCCTAATCTTTTAACGACCATCCTTTCCACAGGGCTCTCTAAATCTCAGTCGAGGCCCCTATAAGCACCCTCCATCCTTGGCTCATGAACTGACTTGCAGAAAAGTAATGTGTTTGAAGAGAAAATGCAGGGGCTGCCCTCGGAGGCCTAGGTCTCAGGTCCAAACTTTTAAAGAAAAGGAGAGGGACAGTATTGCAGAGAAGGCTCCATGCAGCCTGGGATTTCCCACCAGTTACCTCACAGTAACAGTAACCCAGTGTCCTGTCAAAGTCCTCACACTCCTAACCCCCTCCCCCAAGGTAGATTTTTATTTTTGAGACGGACAAGATTGACCTTGAACATTTTTCTTTCAGAAAAAGATTTAAATTTTTGATTATGTGTATGTATGCATGAGTGCAGCTGCCTACAGAGGTCAGAGGAGGGTTCTGGATCCTCTGGAACTGAGTTTCAGTTATGAACTACATGACGTGGATACTGGGAACCAAACTCAGGTTCTATGGGAGAGCATCAAGAGAGCATCTTTTAACTGTTGAGCCATCTCTCCAACCGACCCGAACCCCCCTCCACACACACCTTTTTTTGAGCCAGGTGTGAATTTATAACTCAGTCTGTAGCCCACATTGGCCTCAAACTAACTGTGATTCTCTTGTGTCAGCTCCCTGGCGCTGGGATTACATGCATGAACCCTCCTGCCCTGCTTCCAAAGACAAACATTTTACAGAGAAAAGCTTCTTATTTTCCTTGGGTATGGTCTTGAATAAGTCTAATTTGTTCCACTAATTTGTCTCCTGGTCTTTCGGTAGAACTATGAGCTGAACTAACCCAAGAGTTGCTGCTGTTTTGAGACAGGGTCTCACTATGTAGCCTTGGCTGGCCTGAAGCTCACTCTGTAGACCAGGCTGGCCATGAACTCAGAGAGCTTCACCTGCCTCGGCCTCCGAAGTGCAGGGATGGAAAGCATGCACTACCACTCTTGGCCCTAACCTTAGATGTTGGAAACTGTTTTCTTAGATTTCAGAGGCTCTGCTTCTACATATGTTTGAGTACTTTTTTAGTGCATAGATTGGTTAAAGAGATGGGATAATAGTTTGCACAATTATATTCATCCTAAGAATCAGAGAATTACCCCTCCCCTTATTTTCCTCTGTACTTTCCAACAGTTAATAATAGACCTAGCTAATCCATGTTGCTGGACCCACTTCCACCTGCTCACTACTCAAATCCAGTACTTTGGAGACAGTATTTTGTTGAAAAGAAATACTCATCAAAGGTCAGCCCTGATAAGTGGGGGTGGGGAGTGGGGAGCAATTCTCAAAGCTTCATGTTTAGGGATAACCAGACACAGAAGACCTTCAGTGGGAAGTAAAAGGAGGCACCTGGCAATGGGTAGGAAGCCTCCATGCTGAGTGCAGCCTTCGTTTTCTGCTGTGGTTACCTCCGTTTTTTTTCCTTTGTCTGCATGTTACCTGAACTATATGACCTTCTGTTTTCTTTTCTTTAATTTTATTTTAATGTGCACTGGTGTGAGTGTCATATCCCCTGGAACAGGAGTTACAGACATTTGTAAGCTGCCGTGTGTGTGTGCTGAGAATTGAACCTGGGTCCTCTGGAAAGCAGCCAGTGATCTTAACCACTGAGTCATCTCCCCCCAGCCCTGGCCTCTTGTTTTCTTTAGAAAAACATTTCGTTTCCTTCAAGTTAACCCCCACAGCAATTTACATGCTTTGTGTTAGGGTACAAGACTAAGGATTAAGGAGGGTGTCACACATTCTTATGCCATCTTAAAGTCAGCAGATGGTCTGGGTTCTGTAAATTTCAATTTGTTTGTTCTGTTTGAGACAGGACCACACCACGTAACCTTGGCTTGGCTGGAGCTCCCTAAGTAGATGAAGCTGACCTCGGACTCAGATCAGCCTGCTTCTGCCTCCCAAGTGCGGGGATTGAAGTTTGACTCCTCAACCTTGTTGAGTTGAGGGGGTAAGGCTTCGGGCAGCCTTTTAGGGAGAGCTGACTGACTGATTCTCCTGCCAGTTAAGATTTTCTGCACAACAGGATCGAATTTAACTCCTCAGACGAGATGTCGCAGCTTTTCTCTGCAGTGGAGAGAAAAGCCGGCGAAGAGGTACTTTCCCGCATCGACGGAAGTAGGACCCGGAACCACTTCCTCTAGTGCGAGCCAATGAGCTCTTTCTTATGGCAGCCAATTTAGTCCCGGAGTCCTCCCGACGGGAAGATCGTTTTGATTGGTGGCGCAGCCGAGTGCGCAGAGGCTCACGGGAGTCAAGTCCCGCCGCTTCGCCGTGACTTGCCAGAAGACCTGACAGTCAGCCGAGCCGCCCCTCTGGTCACGCCTCTTCCGCCGCCAGGCAGCGACGCCGTGGGGGCCGGGCAGCTCCGCTCGGCCCAGGCGCTTGTGCCGCTGAGAGGCGCGGGGCCGCGCGGGGCGGGCCTGGGAGGGGAGCGGCCGCGGGGGCGGGGCCGGGGCGGGGCCGGAGGAGGAGGCGGAAGCGGCGAGCGAGCTGGAGCTGGAGTCGCCTCGAAGCTGCGTCCGGGCCGGCGGAGCGGCGGCGGCGGGGTTGGCCGGGGCGAAGGGGCGCTGGAGCCTGGGCGGGCGGGCAGAGGGCCGGGGGAGGGGGGGCGCGGCCCGGGTGTGGGTGACGGGCGTGCCGGGAGGATGCGAGCCGGGGCTGTGGGGCGGGGCGGGCGGCGGCCGCGGGAGCGGCGCCGGGGGCGGGCGGCCGCATGAGGCGCTGGGCCGGCGGCCGCGGGAGGGCGGCGCGGCCCGCGGCCCGGTCGCTCCCGCTGCAGCTGCTGGCCGGCGCGCTGTGCCCTGACAGCTGGGCCTCGGCCGCTCTCGTCTCGGCCGCGTCCCGGGCCGCCGCTGGTGACCACTCGCCGCGCTGCCGGAGGCTTCACCCGCGCCCTCCCTCAGGACGCGCCCGCGGAGCTCGGGCGCCTTCGCCCCGGACCCGGAGGCCGCGCTGCGCGGGGCGGCGGCGAGGCTGGAAGATGGCCTGGGTGCTCAAGATGGACGAGGTGATCGAGTCCGGGCTGGTGCACGACTTCGACTCCAGCCTGTCCGGCATCGGGCAGGAGCTGGGCGCCGGCGCCTACAGCATGAGGTAAGGGGCGCGCGGCTGCCTCCGCCCGGTGGGGCCTGGGCCCCGGGGTCGGGGTCCTGCCGCGTGGCTCCGTGGCCTGGGAGCCCGGCGGGGGCGCCTGGAGGTGGGCCCCGCCGCTAGCCCAGGGAAGCTGCTCTAGCTGTTGAGATTGGGTGAGAGGGGCAAGGAGACTTCCTTTCCGTTGGATTTCCGAGTCTTTTTAGCTGGGGTAGGCTTGTACAAAAGGCGCCGCTTGTAATGGGAAAACACGGTAGCCTTTCCTACCGTGCCTTTTAGGGTGGCCTTTGCATTTCAGCCACTAGACATTATAATAGTAAGTTATATTGTGAATGAAAGTAGCCCCGAGGGCCAGCGAGCGCGTTGACTTGCTGTGTAGTCTCCTGATTGTGTGAAAGTGAAGCTGGGCCCTTGACTTGGTTTCTTCGGTCTCAAAGTGACTCCCCTCAGGCTCTTTCCTCTTGCAGAGGGCTTTAAGATTGTGCCACAAACAATAGTTTAGTCACTGCAGTCTGCACCAGCAGCTGTTCCATTTTGAATAACTGGGAGAGGTTGAAACAGATAGGAGCCAAGTATGTCTTCGCCTTATCCCGAAAGAGTTGAAGAATTCTTTGTGGCCCCGGAAGCTCTTTGTTTTGATATTGGAATATGACTTGTGTAGGGTATGGTTTAACCGATGAAGTGAAAAACGGAGTGGTCTTTGAAACTGATGTGAATTAAGTATAATATTCTGTTTTCAGAAAATGCCTGGTGTGTGAAGTGCAGCTTCTAGAAGCTCTCTTAGTTTCCCTGTCGCCCAGGGGAGGACAGGAGCGTTAATACCCCATGAGAAATGACCTGGGTTGTAGCTGGTCTGGAGAAGTCCAAGCTCATCCCTGAAGCAATTTGGCTTGGCTCTGCCTCACACAGAACTCTCAGAACAGTGGGAAGGCGCGATGGAAAGCATGCTCAACTGAGAATTAAGTCACTCGCATCTAACCCTGGTGTGGTCTCTGCTCGACTCCCTAAACTTGGCACCTCCTTTCTCTCCAGTTGTATAACTTGAGGGCTTTAAATGAGGTGGATTGTTTTCTAGAACAGCTGTCTTGGTTGTTGAGGAAACTGAGCTACTGAAAGCCTCGGGATCACCTAGAGAGGTGTACTGAAGAGGAGGCTTTCCTGTGGAAGCCCTCCTCCAGTGAGTGCCCTTGGCCACTTGAGAGCACATGTGTCTCCTCGTTTTTCAGTCGGACAGGGCTGCTGAAAAGCTTGCTTATTGGCAGTTTCTAGAGCTTGCCTTCTTTCTAGGGTCTTCTGTGAACTGTGCTTGTTTTTTTGTTGTTGTTTTTGTTTGTTTAAATTTTTGGTGATTTTGCCAACTGGCTAACTTGTGTTTTGCGTTATTTCTCTGAAGAGGAAATCAATTCTTAGAGATATCCTTCCTTTGACCTTATTCTTGAAGTTGTGCTGGCATCTTTGTGTTCTCATTAGTGACACTACACTGGGAAAACTGTTTCCTTCTGTAGTTTTGGCGGTGTCATTTAGTCTAAAATTCCCAATGTGTCTGAAAGTCAATAGCAGTTTTTGAGGGGGCTTGTTTATTTGTTCATATTCAACTGGGTTCTGAGAAATCAAGAGGAGTTTGCCTCTTATGCCTTCAAGACCCTTGATTTAAAATCTTCATGTATAAGACATTGTGAAATTGAGCAAGTCTGAGAGGCATTAGTCTTCCATAGGCCTCCCTTGGTTTGCTGTCTCTCTCCCCATTTATCTTGAGCAGCCTGCTTGTTCTGCATAGGAATCTGATCAGAAGCAAGCCTTACCTTTTTGTTATTTGTTCTCACCTATTAAGCTCAAAAAGTAAGGCTGAGATGGTGGCTCACATCTGTAATTTCAGCACTTGGGAGGCTGCGGGGAAGATGATCTGAGTTTGAGTCCAGCCTGGGTACCTATTTTGTGTGTGTGTGTGTGTGTGTGTGTGTGTGTGTGTGTGTGTGTGTGTGTCTCTCTCTCTCTCTCTCTCTCTCTCACACACACACACACACACACACACAGAGAGAGAGAGAGAGAGAGAGAGAGAGAGAGAGAGAGAGCTTAAGAAGTATACTTGAACTTACTGGAAAAATCTTGATTGGTTTGGTGGGCTGCAGAGATGGCTCAGCAGGCAAAGGCATTTGCCACCAAGCTTGCAGATATGCGTTCTAGCCCTAGAACACACATGATAGAAGGAGAAAACTACTGACTTCTGCATGTTGTCCTTTTATCACATACATGTTGAAGACACCCTTGTGCTCTTTTTTTTTTTTTAATTGAGTGTAAGCCATTTTCCATTTTTCTTCAGACTGTATTTGTGGGAGTCTTAAATAAAATTCATTCTGTCTCTTAACTTTATGGCTCTGGGAATTGAACCAAAGACCTTGAGTTTTGTAACTGAAAGTTTTCCTGTGTACCACCTGGTCTGCAGCCCAAGTAAAGTCCACTCAGACCCATGTAAACACACAGAGGCTTATATTAATTATAACTACTCGGCCATTAGCTCAGGCTAACTACTGATTAGATTAGGTCTTACACTTAAAACTCAGCCCATTTCTGTTAATCTATATATTGCCACATCTTCCGTGGCTTTACCTTGTGTCATTACATGCTGCTCCCTGGACAGTGGGCTGGCATCTTCTGACTCAGCGTTATAGCCTTCCCAGAGTTCTCCTTGTTTGTTTATCCCGCCTATACTTCCTGCCTGGCTACTGGCCAGTCAGTGTTTTATTTATCAACCAATCAGAGCAACACATATTCGCAGCATACAGAAAGACATTAACCCATCAGAGTTTACTAGGTAAGGTCTTTTTTCTTCTTTTCTTGTTGAGACTCACTATGCAGTCTCACTATGCAGTCCAGGTTGTCCAGGAGCTCACCATGTAGCCTAGGTTTGCCTTGAATAGATTCCTGAGTGCTGGGATCATAGAAATAAGCCACCATAGCCAGTTTAGGCAAAGTATTAGAACTTTTTGTTTCTCTTCCCCATTCATTCATTCATTTTGAGAAAGGATCTTATTTAGCCCAGACTGGCCTTGAACTCACCGAGTAGCTGAGGATTTTGAACTTTTGGTCATCCTGCCTCCACTTCTAGAGTGCTTGATTATAAGTGTGAACCACATCCTGGTCTGTATGGTACTGGGATTGAACCCAGGTCTTTGTGCATGGTAGCTAGCCAAGCATGCTACCAATTGAGCTGTATCTACTGCCCTTTCGACCTTTTTCAGAAAAAGACTGTCTTGGAGCTTACAGTGTAGCCCAGACTGATCTCAAATTTGAGATTGGCTTCTGAATTCCCAGTACTGCAATATTATTCTTTATTCTTTTTTCGTTTTTGGTTTTTTTGAGACAAGATTTCTCTGTGTAGTTTTGGTGCTTCTCCTGGTTGTCCTAGAACTCACTGTGTAGACCAGGCTGGCCTCAGATTCCCAGAGATCAACCTACCTCTGGGATTAAAGGCATGTGCTACCATACCTGGATGCAATTTTATTCTTAAAACCTATTTTAGGGGGTAGTTTCTACAGCCCCCCCCCCCCCCCGGCCGCTCCCCCAGACAGGGTTTCTCTGTGTAGTTTTGGTGCCTGTCCTGGATCTCACTCTGTAGACCAGGCTGGCCTTGAACTCACAGAGATCCGCCTGGCTCTGCCTCCCAAGTACTGGGATGATTAAAGGCATGCGCCACCACCGCACTGGCGTTTCCACAGCTTTTGTGGACAGTAACTTGAAAAAATTGGAGAATTGTGGGTTTTTTGTTTGTTGGTTTGTTTGTTTTTTCCAGATCTTGACCTTATACGTGTTTTATTAAATAATGTAGGCTAATGGTATTGGGGACATATTTAGGCAAATTTCTGGTATTTCCTTTGCTTCTCTTTTTCTGGGGGAGGGTCTGGCACTCATTTTGCAGGTATGTGTTCTGCAGCCAGACTTGTAAGCTAGCTGTGCGGATTCCCTTTGAAATGAGCCAAGTCATACATAAATCTTATTTTTTTTTTTTTATTACAATATCAATTCCAGGATGGGAGTGGAGCTAGCTGAGTTGGTAGAGTGCTTGCCTAGCATGCATGAAGCCCTGGGTTCAGTCCTGAGCACTGCCTAAAACCGGGCATAGTGTTACATACATCACTTAGGAATATTGTAGGTAGGAACATCAGAAATTCAAGGCTGTTCTGGGCTTCATAGCAGCAAGTTCTAGACCATCTTGAGATACATGACGAGACAAAAGAAAGAGAGAGAGAGAGAGAAAAAGAAAGAAAGCCCTTATTAATTTATAACCACAAACCACTTTGTATTATTATTATTTTACTAAAAGCTATTTTGCAAAATGGAAAAGTTAGCCATAAGAATGAAATTTCTTATTTTCTATTTTGTAAAACTTAACTTTTCCCCTTGGACTTGCTTATCTGATACTTTGTTTTTGTTTTTTTGATTGATTGGTTGGTTTTTCAAGACAGAGTTTCTCTATATAACAGCTCTGGCTGATTGGGAACTCATTTTGTAGACCAGGCTGGCCTCGAACTAACAGAGATCCAATTGCCTCTGCCTCCCCAGTGCTGGGATCAAAGTCTTGTGCCACCACAGCCTGGCTTGCTTATCTAATACAAATGAAGAAAATTAGCCTCACAAAGAGAAGTACTTAATTTAGTGTATGTACATAGCTTTTTCAGATCGTTGTGGATATTATTCTTTGAACATATCAACATTTGACAAGTGGTAGATTGCTTTTTAAAAAACTTAGTAGCTTGGAGAGATGGTTCAGTGGTTAAGAGCACTCACTAGCTGTTCTTCCAGAGGACTCAGGTTCACGTCTAACCATCTACATGGCAGCTCACAACTGTCTTTAACTCCAGTCTCAGGGGATCCACAGCCCTCTCCTGGCCTCCTCCAGCGCCAGGCTTGCATGTGGGGCACAGGCATATGCAGATAAAACATCCATACACATAAAATAAGTTACATTTTAAAACTTTATTTAGTGTGTGTGTGTGTGTGTGTGT